GATATCTGTGGTTTAATCCCATTATCATATCCTGCTTCCCAGGTGATGGGGCTAATGACTCTTAAGAGCTTGGGCGGGGTATGCAGATTTTCTCTTTGTCTTCTTGATTGCTCTGGCTTCAACTTTCTGATGGTTCCACATCTGCATTTGTATAAGACTAGCTACTGCTTTGGGCAAAGAGATGAGGCCAGGTTTGGTTTCTGCTTTTCAAAAAATGCTTTTAAAAATCCTTTTGGTGAACAATATCTTTCTTTCTGCCTTTTTAATATTTCCTTCTCTGGGTTAACTTCCCACACTGTTGATGTGTGATCTAAAATCTTAACCAGGATGTTGTCAATTGAGGTAGCCCTAGAATGATTTTATACTACTGTATAAAATAATTATTTATAGAGTGTCTTTGAGAATGTTGACTTCTGACAAATGCCTGGACTAGTCCCTGCAGTTTTCTTAGCAAGATTTCAGAAGTGATTTGCCATTGCCTGCTTCCTAGGATTGAGTGAGAGTGACTGGCCCAAAGTCCCCTGGCTGGCTTCATGCCCAAGAAAGACAAGGTCTCCTGTTTTTAGCCTGATGCTGTAACTGCCACACCAATCTGGCTGTTCTATCATTAAGCAACCTCAACTGAAGAGTGTATACAATATTCAGAAGACTTCCCAGAATTTAGCATGCATAACTTTCTAGCAGGCATATTATATGACATTATTTCCCTTGAATTTTTCCAAGTTAAAGTATTATTTAACTTGTCTCTTCCCTGCACTGTCATTACCAGTGAGAATTTTAAGTTTGCCAGGGCCACACAGGTTCTTGGAAGCAGTTACATGATCTTAGTTGTGACCCCGTTGAAACGGGGGACTTGGCTAAGATAAACAAACCTCTTCCCTATTTTCAGCACCGGGTGATTTAAGGCTTCCGCCGAGCTACTTCGAATAGTGTCTGAATAAAACCCGGGATAGGGTCGGCTTTCGGCCAGCTTACTGAGAAATCTCTTGGACAGAGACAGAGAGGTTCCTGGAAGTCGCAGTGTCAGGGTAGCAGAATAATTTCGGAGTGTTTGGGGAAGAGGGGTGGAGCCACGAAGCCCAATGTTGGTACACACAGGAAAGTCTCTGCACGCTGCCGACGCGAATCCTCGCCCTTCCCATTGCTCGCTCGCTCTGACGTCGCCACATGCTTCTCTCAAAAGCGGAGGCATCAGCGCGCGTCCCCCAGAACCGAGCGTGCTGTTCCGCGAGTGGCTTTTCCTCGCTCTCGTTCACCTGAAAGCTTTTCTCCTGAGCGCGGGGGCCTTTGTCTGATTTCACCAGAAGTAACCTAACTTATTGTTTTCTGTCGGCTTGATATATTACAACTGTTTTTTTAAATATTATATTTAATTTAATTTATTACAAAAAAAAATTTCGGACTGTCAGTATTTAAGGATTTTTTGCTTCCGTTTAAAAAGAGAAATCGACCGAAGAAAGAAGCTCCGGAACTTTGCGAGTTTTAAGCTTTGTAGATTGAGGTAAAATATTCTGAGATTTGGGGGAGAAGCTCGAAGAAGGTATCTGCAGCTAGCTGAGTGGGTTAACTGCGTTTGCTAGTGATATAACTAACTGTGGACTGGCTTTTTTATGTAAGAATGTGCGAGACTTAAGATGTGAGCGGGATAGGGAGGGAGCATGGGGGGAGGGGGAATCCGTCAGCCGCCGCTAGCGCTACTGTATCACAGCAGGGCGTCCAGGGTCCCCCCCCCCCTTCGCCATCGCTTTTCCAAACCCTCCCCACAAAAGACGTCGCTGGTGATGCAGTCTTGTGACTGATTTGTATTGTTGTTCACATTTTCCGAAGTAGGATTCCCGGGAAGAAGCGAGGAGGGGAAATAAATAGCTGGAAACGGTCCGGAAAGTCCAAGAAATGCTTCGGGCGGCAATCAGTTAATGTTAGAAAGGGACCGTGACAATCGGTTACTTAGATTGCACCATGTAAAGTTCCGGGCAAAAAGAGGACGGATGGGTGGAGTTCGTTCGCTTCCAAATCTGATTACGCGATCATGTCGCGAATGTGGGTGTATGTGTATTTTTAAGCTTCTCTGATCTTAACAAGTTAATCTACCTGCGGCGGATGTATTGTGTTTCTCAGTCTCTGGATGGATGAAAGCGAAGAAGACTAGCGAAGGCTCTTTGCTTATCTGCTTGGCTGGGCAGAGAAGCCTTCTTTTGCCTTGGCACCCTGGCTTCCCACCGTAGGTCTTTTGTTTCCCCCCCCCCCAACCACCCCCTCTTTTCAGACAATGTGTGCTCCCAGTGTTCTAGCTGGAGATATCTTTGTTCTCCTCCCAGTACTTTTCCTTCCCTCGCCCCTCTTCGCTTATCCCGCCCTTCTCTGCTGGTACTTTTCCACTCGCCTGGCTGAATCAGCCGTGCTGAGCAGCAGCTTCGAGGCAGGGTCTCACGTGACCCACTTCGGGAGACTACTGCAGTACTGACGTTTTCCCTTTACCTTCGCAGACGAGGTAGGACCCGCGGCCGCCAAGGACAAAAGATCACGAGGACCCCAGGCGGCCCCTCCCAACCCAAATAAGTCTTTGGCCTTATTGACCCGTTCCCTAAGAAAACATCCTGGATCCCAGTATGACCAAAGCTGAAATGGGCAAGCTGAATAGCACCCGAGAGGAGGACAGCAGCAGCTATAGCTCTAACAGCAACGACTTCAGCTATCACTACCCCACCAAATCAGCTGCGATGAAGAGGTCAGGGAGATTTCTCTGCCTTACTTTGAACCACAGTACAACAGCCTCTTCAAATACCTGCCCCAGTTCCCCTGAATGGGTGGATGGATGGATGGATGGATGGATGGATGGATGGATGGATTTCTGTTTTGGGAATTCCCCCACTAAGGGAAAATCTTTTTAAATGACCATATCACAAGCCAGGAAAAAGAAGAAAATGTTGCACATTGTTGACACATTTATTCAGATTTTAGCTCAGTTAAAAATAAGTGGACTTTTACAATAGTATTTAAAGTTCCTCTTTCCCTTCATTTCACAGCCATTACGTAGATATGGATCCAGAAAACCAAAATTTTTTACTTGAATCCAACCAAGGGAAGAAAAAATATGAAACTGAATATGTAAGCACATACCAATAGTGTTTTTAAAAAGAAAAATAATTTTATTACAAAACCTCTTGCAAGTAAGAACAAATTGTGAACTTTCACCATCCTTATTATTATTTACAGCATCCAGGTACAACTTCCTTTGGAATGTCAGTATTTAACCTGAGCAATGCTATTGTGGGCAGTGGCATTCTTGGACTTTCTTATGCCATGGCAAACACAGGAATTGCTCTCTTTGTGTAAGTATTAGAATGCAATAAAATCACATTACGTTATTGTTTTAGGAAAATATTTGTTAGTGCTTGCTTCAAGCATAAAATGTAATTCTGCTAAAGTATCTGAACACAAGCCATTTTAATCCCATTGACATTGCTAGAGGCAAGAAGCAGTGAACATTTATCTAGAAATACCTTGAACTCACAGAAAATTGTTTGAGTGGCAAATTTATGCGATTAGACTACAAGTTACTTTGAACAGAAAAGGAAATTCAGCTCAAACTAATAATTTAATATTTCAGTTGAAGAATACAGCTGGTGTTTATGTTTACATTTCTCATATTGGAGCCAGTAGGATTTTAAACATTTAGGTTTGAATGGCTGATATACATCCTCTTTCTTTTTTATGGGCAACAGAAATTAAAGAAAACATTCTGAAATTTTTGAATTTATACACTATAAAAATGAAATTGCACTCACTTTTATTGTTTTAGTTACAATTGGTTAAGTTGCCTTTTCTTTTGTTTGAATGCTGTGTTTTTCCTCAAAAATGATTTTTACATTAATCTAAATATCGCTGCATTGTTTTCTCAAATAGTGGGGGAAATGCTTCAATTTATCCATTTTAATTTTTGGATTATAATGTCCTACATTGGCTAACTAAACTGGCTATTGACTTTGGCCAATCATTCTCTCAGCCCAACAACAGGGGTGTTGTTGTGGGAAAATAGCAGGAGGGAGGAAAATTGGGTATGTTCATCACCTTGAGTTATTTATAAAAATGGGAAATAAATTAACTAGATTTGCCATCCTGCATTTTGCCTCATATGCATCATAAAGCATTTTGCCTGCAAATGCATCATAAAGCATTTGTCAGTTTTTCCTTGACAATTTCTCATAAAAAATATGCTGTAGAGTTTGCTATTTGGTCCAGCTTTAAATAAGAAAAAGGAATGTATCAGATTACAGAGAGAAACAGATCCTGAGTAGAATTTAGCTATATAGTTATTGGTATGAAAAGCAAGGAGATACATATAGATATATTTCCATTAGAAGGCTATTTAAGTCTGAAAAGTTAAAAAAAACTGCATATTCAGAAAGGCAAATATATAGTGGCATGCATATGTTGGTTATTAATAGAAAACAAAGAAATATGAAAATAACTTTTATTATTTTAATGTTAACTGCAGGATTTAAAAAGCAGATTATGCCTCTAGGGATTTCTGTGACAGCAAAACAACCTTCCAGCATCATTAGAAATTAATATAAAATCCAAGAGCAGTTGGAATTTCAATTCTGTCTTTCACTAATCCATATTGGCAATGAGGAACAGTCAAGCTCTTGAAGGCAGTGATCCTAGAAATATTTACTTGGGAACAGAGTCCACTGAATTTTAAATAACCTGTCTACTATACTGTTAAGTGCAAACAGCTTTGGTCCCTCAAATTCATCTTTAAATATAAATACATTCAAAGTCTGGATGTAAGCTCATGTTCAAAATGGCCCAATTTTCTTTAACTGTAGCTGCATATTAACCCTTCTGAATTTCCCCTTCTCTCTTCTCAGGTCCCTCAAAATGATTGATTTATTGATGGACATTTGGGGATGTCTCAACATGCAGTATGCTGGTAATATTACTGTTGCCACCAAAACAAACTGAAGTGTGAAGCACATTTTAGTGTATGGCATTTATTTTTATTTTGCAAATTATTTAAAAATAGTTCTTGCTAGAACATGAAAAAATCCTAAGCAAAAAAGTGCCATACAGTTTTGTTTAAAAAAAAACCAGACAGATACAATAATTGTACTTTACTGTGCCATTTCATGCTCCAAAAATGTTTTGCAGTGGTTACAATGTAATCATCATAATGCATGCTAGTGAGATTCTCTGAAGGGCAGGGTTTGACAAAAAGCCCATTTAAGTCAGAGGAAATACACACAGAGAGACAGAGACACAGAAGTTGTCAGTACATTTTGTATCTGTATAAGTATATTAGAATAAACAATGAGTTCAGTGAGGCTTGCAGACAGATATAAAAAGGTAACCCAAAGCTATGGGGTTTTTTTCTTAAATTGTTTTCTATTGGAAATTAATTTCTCTAAAATATATTGTAAAGCAACAACTATTTTTTTAAAAAAAGTGATGAGGCCAATCTTGCCTTGGGGGGAGAAGATTCCACAGTACGAGCTCCATGGCAGAAAAGACTCACTGCTGAGGGCCTCCAAAATGTAGCTTCATAGTTAACCGAACCCATAACATGCCTTCTTTGCATGGTAGATGGGAACATAAAATTGGAAAGAGGTGGTTCCCCCAAACAACTTAATGCCATGTCATGAAGGGCTTTAAAGGTCAACCCCAGCACCTTGCATTGGACCCAGAAACACACTGGTAAACAATGCACTCACAAAATGGAAGTGTGATATGTGTTCTACCAGAAACATACCTAACGACTTGCACCATTACATTTGACATCTGCTGAAGTTTCCAGGTAGTCTTCAGGAGCAGCCCGATATAGAGTGGATTGCAGTAATCTAACAGAGATTACCAGGGCATGGATGACAATGAGTAGATCCCCTGATCTAGAAATGATTTGTGCTAGATTTATGTTTTTAAAAGTGGCAGTTAGGCTCTTTTTAATCCTTCTTAGACTGTTCCTTGCCCCCTGAGCACAGTAAATGTTCCTAATATATTCACTGCATTTAAATTTATATATTTCCTTTTTAGAGTTCTCTTAGTCTTCGTGTCAATATTTTCTCTGTATTCCGTTCACCTTCTTTTGAAGACTTCCAACGAAGGAGGTAATGACAGTAACTATTTGTCAATCATAGATTCGTCTCTCCCCTTTTCGCTTTCTAAATTGCATTCTTCAAAATCTCTGTTCCTAAAGGATCTTTATTATATGAACAATTGGGAATGAAAGCATTTGGCATGCCTGGAAAACTTGCAGCATCTGGATCAATTACAATGCAGAACATTGGAGGTAAGATCCTTCTCAGACACCCTAAAAGCAGAAACCCTTCTTATTCCAAAAACTATTTTTTCACAAAACATGCTTTCATTAACAAATTCAATAATATCATTAGGAACTGTATTTTATTATTTTTATATCTTATTGTAACTATCTACAATATTATTCACTTGCAGCTATGTCAAGCTACCTCTACATCGTGAAATATGAGTTACCATTGGTCATCAAAGCGTTTTTGAACATTGAAGAGCATTCAGGGTAAGTCCTAGAATTGCTTGGTAGAAATTGTTTTCATGGGAACATATAAAAAGGGACATTGATATTTGAGGATTTCTTTTGAAACAGGTTAAGTTTAGCTTCTTAAACAAAGGTAAGTAAAGTAGTAAATTCCAGTTATGCTTTCCTGCCTCTGGAGAGGTCTGTTTGAAAGATCTGTCTTTTTTTCTCAGAAAAGAGTTACAAAAATCCATGAAGTTTGATAATACAGTAATTCCAAGTAAACTGGTAAACAATTTTTTTTTAAAAATGATAAGAGAGAAAGCAGGATGCCAAAGGAATGGTCCATCTAGCATTGGGTTGCCAACAAACAGTGGTTCATGCTACATTGGGGCAAGTTTGTTTCTCTTCCCTACCTTGACATATCTGAGACTAAGATCTTTTGAATGCATTGTACCAGCCTAGGGACCTAACAGAAAATGAAATTCTGTAAAATGCAACATTAAAAATTAAAATATTTTAATCAATGTATTTCCATACTGATGAATGCTTATTTGTACAATACAACTGTATATATAGTCTAAAATATTACTGTTGGAATTATTTAAAATATTAAATATGTTTAAAATGTTACATTTTATAATTAGATATAGATGCATAGGTTTTGGCACTAGGTTTACTGGGTTTAGAAGATTAATAGTTACAGTAGGTGATTCTTCAAGTTGGTTGAGATTCACATAAGGAGCAAGCAAGAGTATAATAGTTCCTTTGCTACGTCTGTATGTACATAAATGGAGGCATTATATTGGCGCATAATAGTGAATGGAAGACAAGTTTAAAATAGATGTTTATTATGCTGCTTTGGGGCAGGAATATTTGGATCAACATCCCATCAATAGCACAATCGTCTCATTATAAATCCTTTTGAAGAGAATGGAATCTACCTGAAAGAAGTGACTTCTGTGGAACTTAATTAAAGTAATGGACTATAATTACTATGACTCAGCAAAGCAAAATTCCTTGCAAATGAGGTTATGAAAAGTACATTTCCGTAGTCTTGGTCTAGCGATTAAGGCACCAGGTTAGAAAGTGGGAGATCAAGTCCTGTCTTAGCCAGGAAAGCCAGCTTTATAACTCTGGGCCAAGTCACTCTCTCTCAGCCCAACCCATCTCGCAGGATTGTTGTTGTGGAGAAAATAAGAAGAGGAAGGTGTGTTTGATATGTTTGTCATCTTGTTTGTCATTTACTATTTAAAAATAGTAAAGGTAGGATATAAATAAATAAATACAAATAATCAGATATTGAAATCCATATGAAGAAGGGACTCCAGAATGAAATCATTGTCTATCCTGCATTATAATCCCAAGCAATCCTCAAAATATAAAATCTCCACTTGACGTTCAGTTCCTGTTGTTCTGTCAATATGTACCTATAGATTTATTGGCAGCAGTAAGGAAGAGGTTAAATCATTTCCTTCTGACAAGTCTTTTTGACTTCCTGGTCTAGGTTAGAGCCCTTGAGCTCCTTAGAAGTTTCCCATTCAAGTACTAAGTAATACATTTTCAAAATCAGTCTAGGTTGGCCAGGTATTTTCACTTGTGGAGACAAAGTAGCCTTTAGTGATTTTTAAATTGTCAGTCAGATTTCAGCATGTACATTCTTCTTTTCCTTCTAGAGAATGGTATTGGTATACTAATGGCGATTATTTGGTTATATTAGTATCCTTGGTGCTCATTCTTCCTTTGTCACTGTTGAAAAATTTAGGTAAGTGGTTGTTAATGTTGATATTAATGTGGAATAAAGAAGAAAAACGATGGTTAACTTACTTGCAGTCAGTAAGAGAAATCCCTAATAGTCGAGCCAGTTTTTCTTTTTCTTTATTCCATATATGCAGATGTAAACAGCACGATCAAATTCATGAAATCCTCTGGTTGAGCTATGTTAATTTAAAACAATGCATGAATTAAACATGATGACTGCTCTGAAAGGAAAGTGTAGCACTATTTGCATCACATTAAGTATTCCAATTTTATATTGGCTTAACTTTGAATATATTGTCTGAACCTAAATGGGCTAACAGTATATTCATAGTGGATACATGCCAATAGTTAACATGCTAAATTATACTATTTGCCATTTGGAATCATTTGAACTAATTATATATTGGAAAAGAAAATCTGAACACTTGATTAAAAGTGCACTGGGTAATTTGTAAGTTGATATTAAATTAAAATGTTTCTGACAATAATTCCTACTAATGTCTATTGAACAAGATGGCATAACAGTTCAAAATGTTGAACATGTTATTTTTTACATGTACTGCATGCTTTAAATTAAAACATTCCTTTATCATTGCAGGTTATCTAGGCTACACCAGTGGATTTTCCTTATTGTGCATGGCCTTCTTCCTTATTGTGGTAGGTATTGTTTATTTATCTATATTTTAAAATATTTAAATAGTAATTCAAATGCTTTCACAGACACTTGTAATCATATCTTATAATTATAATTAGAATGGTAATAAATTTATCATGTGAAATCAGCTGTGATCATCCTTTGTTAGGTCATTTGCAAGAAATTTCAAATTCCTTGTGGAGTGGAACATGATCTAATTAATGCAACTCTGAACATTACCATGGAGCAACTGGTGTTTGCAAATGAAACAAATGTTAATGCAACCTATGATTCCTGTGTACCAAAATATTTTATCTTCAACTCAAAGGTAATAATTAAACTAAGTAAGCATGATTGTGACTCCTGCAAAGTCTAACTAGTCCTGAAACTTCCTGTTCACCTCATAAAAGCTGTTATAGCAATACTAAGATCAGTATCTTGTTTATTATCCTTGAATTAAATGGAAAATAACTATGGGTGAGGGAACAATTGCATCTTTACCCAGTTGTTTGACCAGACAGAATATTTAAAGAATAAACTAAACCACTATGGTATAACCAGGTATCACCTCATACAGCTGGAGTTTTCCTTACCTACCAATTCCATATATCACTCATTATTTAACTCTTTGGAATTAGTTTGCAAATATGGAAAAATGTTACATAAACAATATATTTTATTAGCCAATACTTTTGAATAAAAACCAACATGAGCACTCTCATAATCATTTAGTAAAACCTTTAAAATTCTACCTCACTGCTAAATAATTGCATGCTGTGCAAAAAATGCAGTACCATCTCTACGATTATATGTTTTAAAAAATTGAATAGAGTGATTGATAATCTGCTTGGTGACTTGAATAAAAGTGGATGTGTAAACAACTGTGCACAATTGTGTACTAACAAATACTTTTCTAGTATTTAATATATTTGAGTAGGATTAGAAGTTCCAATTGCCTTCAGGCTCTTTACTTTTCTTCCACCTAATCTATTTCACATGGGAAAGTTTATAAATAGGAAGGGCAATTATAGATAATGGTTTGAATTGTTCATAGAAATGGAGGAATATGAATGAAAAAATGCAAAATATGCTATTTAGAATTATAGCTTTAGTTTTTCAAGAAACTGTCTGAGTATCTTTTAAGTTAATATAGAAATAGTCATACACCCATTTTTATGTTTTCCAGACTGTCTATGCTGTACCTATCCTGACATTTTCTTTTGTCTGTCATCCTGCTATTCTCCCTATTTATGAAGAACTGAAAGGGTATGTCATGCGCATTAACATGTTTTGTGTTTTCAAAGAAGTGTATATAAATATGGAATGATGTATTCATAGCAATTTATTTGTTTCTTTATAATAGCCGAACCCGCAGAAGAATGATGAAAGTATCCAATGTTTCATTTTTTGCTATGTTCCTCATGTACCTCTTGGCTGCTCTCTTTGGATACTTGACATTCTATGGTAAAAAGTAACTCTTCTATTTAAGTTTTGCATATTAATTTTGATATATCTTTGAGGTGTGAACAAGTCAACCAGCGTAAAGCAAGCTCACACTGTTTTGTCTTTATGTAAACGTGCTCCATTGTAGCATTTGTACGTTCTAATTAAGAAGGCAATCTCAACTTAAAGCAATAGCTTATACAAGCTTCCTTCCTTCTGCAGAAAAATAAGTTCCACAAATAAGAATTGGTCATTCATTTTTGAATTAACTGAGCCTATGGACTTCTGAGCTCCATTACTAATAAGAAGCAAGACCTAGTAGACTGATAAAAAATATTTCCTGTAGAGCTGTCATGAGAAAGGCTCTTCAATTTTTAAGAACAGCAAACCCATCGGTCATTTTGAGACCATGTTATGGTTACACACAAATTAAAAATGGCTGTCAGGGAGGTTAGGATCAATCAATTTTGTTAATTTTTTGTTAATGTTATACTGAACTGTACTTATGTTCTGCCTGATTGACATCTGTGGAAGGAAGACAAAGAGAGTCCATTACCCACTGGCTGGCTGCAGGTTGGAGACTCACTTCCTGGTTCTATGTCAGCTGACATTCCATTCTACTCAAAGCTGTTATAAGCAGGAAGAGTTAGGAAGTTTGAATCATATCATAGATTGTCAGTAATTTTCATTCAGGTAACAGCTGTATAATTTAATCGCTCCTTGTTTATTGAAGGATATATCACTGCTTGTAGCTTTAGTTTTACAAGCTTTGTAGCTTTAGCAATACACAATGTGATGTGCAATAACAATAGAAATACCATAATGGTATTAGATGGGGACACTGACAAGCGGTCAAATATTAGATTGAAATAAAAGTTTCTGGAATTCAGCCACTTCAGAACACTCTTTAACTTTAAAAGCTGACTGTGGCTACCACATTGCAATGCATTCTATATTACAATGCTGTATAGTCACACAATTCCATTTGCAAATCAATTATAAACTTTTTAAAAACATGCACAGGAATCTCGTTTATTATTTTATATGAATATTAAAGTTAATAAATATTCTGCATGTCCCTTTCCAGGAAAGGTGGAAGCCGAATTGCTTCATACTTATTCAGCAGTGCTTCAGACTGATAATCTCCTTCTGATTGTGCGCTTAGCAGTCCTGATGGCAGTCATTCTTACTGTTCCAGTTGTGATTTTTCCAGTGAGTAACTTTATTTAATGAAGAGAATGTAGTGTTAATTTATGTTGAAATTTGGAAATCAAGTATTTATGGAGCTTGCATTTATTTCCATTTATCAGTTTCATTTTTTAAATCTTCTGTCATGTCTCTGTGTTCAGTTTGCTTTCCTTTTTTCATCATTGTATAATTAGAATAGTTAGAAGGCAATATAAATTCTATATTCTAAAAGAATATTTAAAATTTATTTAAATATTTAAAATATTTTTGGGAGGGGATAAATTTTAATGTGACTTTAATAACATTAAGTAATTCAATTAATGTTTATTTTACAGATCCGCAGTTCCGTCACACAATTGCTGTGTGCAGGCAAAGAATTTAGTTGGGTTCGTCATTGTATTATTACAGGAGCTATTTTGGTATGCACCAACGTTCTCGTCATTTTTGTTCCCACAATTCGAGACATATTTGGATTCATTGGTGAGGATTGTTTGTTACTTGTTTGAAATACCTATTGTTCTAAAAATGTCTATTTAGTGTAATAAAAAATAAGTGGTCTAATTAAACTTTATGGTTCATTCAGGTGCCTCTGCTGCTGCCATGCTAATCTTTATACTTCCATCAGCTTTCTACATTAAGCTTGTGAAAAAAGAATCCATGCAATCTGTGCAAAAAATTGGGGTAGGTACTTATCATTGTGTTTACCAATAAAAGGGAATGTTTCTTGATATCCATAGAATTATTAGCTTCATTCTTGCACAGTGTTTGACTATAAAGCTTACTTAATTGCCATGAATGTCTGCATTAACTGTGCTTAGACCTTTTCATTAACTCATTCCCCTCTTTTTTTCTTTAAATGTTCATTATTTCTTTTATTTTACTTTTGCATTCCTGTAGGCCACTAAAAATCATTTTGGAAATTAAGTGGCGTAACATAAACACCCATATATAAAAGTCTAACATATTTGTCTGAATTTTCTTAGCCTTCCCAAAAAATGAAGGCAGAATGTGTTCAATGTTTTTCATCTTGGCTTTGAATGATGCAAGTCTGAAAATTGCCCCCCAAAATTTAATTTATATGTATAATAGACTATTTCTTTCATGCCCTTGTTTCTGACAAAATAAATTCAGTATTTTCATATGTTACTTATTTAGGCTCTCCTGTTCCTGCTAAGTGGCACAATTGTGATGATTGGAAGTATGACCTTAATCATTGTGGATTGGATCAACAATTAACCTACCTGCTTTATTCATTCGTCTTCATTCTGCCATCTTCTGGGAGGAAAAACCTTCTGCCTATGTTTGCAGCTCTGCTTCCTTTGATGCTAGTACTTCTAATGGTAGAACAGATGGATTTTAAAGAAAGAAAAACAAAAGAAACTATTCTGCACAAGAATAGATACTAATATCAAGTCAGCTGAATCTTTGGCTGAGTGAAGTGACTTTTTTTTTTATTCCATTCCAGGGAATGGATGGCTCTCTCTGTAAAAATTTATCAAGCCATGTTGGGCTTTGGACATTGTTACTTGGATTCTTTATTTACTTGAATGTGCCTAATGGAAACAATTGGTGTGAGAAGTAAATTAGTTTACAGCAAGTTGTAAGCTAGCCATTAAAAGGAAGGGAAAAAACAGTTATTTTTATACCAAATAACTATGGACTCAAAAGCACTATTTTGACTTTTAAGAAAACATTTTATAAGTTAAAGATTCAAATAAGGGTAAGAAAAAAATCAGTATACTGTTTAATCAGTATCCTCAGTTCAAAATGTTTGCCTGTCTACAGAGACATGTTCTTAAAATTATATTTTTCACCTCAATAAGCTTATTTTTTAAATCTGTTATAACTAATGTTTAATTGACTATCTTGAAAGAATAGAACTAAAATTAAATTCCATTTGTAATTTTAGTTATTCTAACACTAAAACCAAACAAAGATTTGTTAAGAAGTCCCAATTATAGTATACTGAGGTACTCAGTAGTGCAATTACAGAAGATAAAAACTTTTTATTCTTTTTTTTATTTGGTCTCACCAAAGCACAATAAATTGTTAGATAATGTGATGTTCCTAGCAAAATAATCTGGCTTTTTAGTATTTAAAACAAAAATATTGAGGTCATGCTATAGTTTACTGGAGGTAAAGTATACAGATAGTGTGGTACTTTTCAGATGCATGTTTTCATTCATTATTAATATTTTATATTATGTTACATAATTGCACCAGAGTTTGGTGCATGTGACAAAATTCTTTTCATAAAATAACTGGATTTCTTAATGCAGTTTTCTAAACTGTCGTGTGTGTGTGTGTCTGTGTGTGTATACACACACACACACACACTTGTTACTAAATGAATGGGTTTCAGTATTATTGGAACAGTGGGGTAACAACCATAGGTCATGTACAGTGGATATCCAGAACATGATCCTGCCCTAACTGGACAACAACATTCAAAGAACATATGAACTGGGCATACATACCTCACTCCTATCTGTCTCCCATTCATCATTTTGCCCAGAAACTCAAGAAGAGCTGAATGTTGATACAGGGAATTCATACATACTTCCCATTTCTATTATTACCGTAATTTAAAGAGATATTTAATGAATTTGCCATGTGGGATAGAGGATAAAATCTTCTCTATTATGCTTTGTAGTAATAAATCTGTGTTGCAAGTGCTGCATTTGCCAGAGAAAGGAGCATATTCCAGTTTGGTTACTACACATATTAATTATACTATTTCAACCCCAAGATGTAAAGAAATTTAGGACACTTTTTCATTTCACAAAAATTGCTGAGCAGATTTTCTGCCAGAATCTAAAAAGACAGAATTTAACTAGGTAATGTTCAGAGGATTATTTTCATCTGGCATAATCTATCTTAATAGTACTAGCTCAATAGTAACTATTGAGTTAGAGCAATCAAAAAAGGCATGTAATTAACCGGAACATTTTTTAAGTGTAGGTTCATTTTAAAAAATATATACAGCAAATATTTCCCATTGCATTCTGATTCTTAGCCTAATAATGTTTCATTAGGGTGCTTTTAATATTTCCCCTTATTGACCTAGAAAGGCTAGACTTCAAGCCATGGTTCTAGATAGAATATAATCTGTACTTGAATAATAGTTGTGATAATCTCTTTTATTCCTAAAATATTAGTAACTAACACTAGTACTGTTAAAAACATAAAACTTATTTTTTGATCTAGATCACAGGTGTCAAACTCACTGCGTCATGTGATGTGTTGCGACAGATCACGACTTTTTTCGCATTGCTGGAGCTGCAGTGGGTGCGCCTCCGGATGATGCAACCGGCCCGCGGGCTGGCACTTTGACATCCCTGATCTAGATTGTCTAAACAAAACATCTTAGAATTTCAAAGATCACTTTGTAAGCATTTGGCTAGTGTAATATAAGATCTCATTGTTGAGTGTTTATATCTCAGAACTACCATTGGCATTACTGGGTGGATACAGCATACTTATGTAGCAGATATAAATAACATAATATTTTCTTATATTTTGTACTAGTCTAGTGGTATTTTGCGCAACAGCCTAAATACTCCAGAAAGTATATCAAATAATTTAAAACAATTTTCTTTTCTTTCAGCAACTGGTGTTGCCCAGTGTCTTTAACCAATCTAGGGAGTTAAAGATCAAAAACCATTCTTTTCCAACAATAAAAAAATTGTTATAGCCTAATTATTCATCTAAAAGCCAGAAAAGTGACAAAAGTGGGGAAAATACACTTATGCATCTGCAAAAATGATACTGAATTATTGCTGAATCAGCAATATCTGGGCAGTTCAAATTATGGATTGCACAGTTTTCTTTCATTTGCAAGATCAAATTTCTCTAACTACTCCTGAGTACCACTAAGATATCTTCTTTGCTAATATACAAATATGTGGTGCATAAACTTCTCAGGAGCTAGTAGTTTCAGCATTTAACCACTATTTGTCACCTCATTTTAAAATTATTGTCTTCCATGTTATTTTACTCACATTATGTAACATGTTATTTATGGAATAGTAACTTGTTGAAGTTAAAACCTATTTTTCAATATTTATGGGTAACCTCTGTATATAAATTATTATACTCTTGTGTTTGTGTGTGTGTATATATGTATGTATGTGTGTATATATGTGTGTGTGTGTGTGTATATATATATACATATATACATATACATACATACATACATATATATATATATATATATTAAACACACTAAAAATGGTCGAGTGATTCCTGGGTATATACATGTTAAAAGCTGTACAACGGAACGACACTAGAACACCAGGAAGAGTTAAAACCAAAAAGTTTTAATAAATATTTAAAAACCTAGCTTTCGTTGAATATCTATCAACGTCATCAGGGTGTATGTTGGTTAGTGGGAGGGCCCCTTTATAGATGAAGTAATGTTGACGCCCCGACTCATGGATCTTGTTACTGGGCCTTGCCGGCCAATCAACGCTATAGTTGTGGCTTCTGTAATGTTGGCTGGATTACTGCTGCTTGCTTTTCCTACTCTCGAGTATTCCTTTTTTCTTGCTCCCAGGGTGGATGTGTCTTTGATCATGTTGCGATCACTTATGACCCTCAGACTTATGGGGTGTTCTTTCCCATTGGATATTTTAGGGTGCCTTATATCTGGGCATGGGCATAGAGAGTGTGGGGAGAGTGGTGAACCCACAGATATAAGGCACCCTAAAATATCCAATGGGAAAGAACACCCCATAAGTCTGAGGGTCATAAGTGATCGCAACATGATCAAAGACACATCCACCCTGGGAGCAAGAAAAAAGGAATACTCGAGAGTAGGAAAAGCAAGCAGCAGTAATCCAGCCAACATTACAGAAGCCACAACTATAGCGTTGATTGGCCGGCAAGGCCCAGTAACAAGATCCATGAAGGGGGGGGGGGGGTCAACATTACTTCATCTATAAAATGCGAACACCAGGAGAGTATAAGAAATAAAGAAATACAAAATAAGTATAAGAAATAAAGAAATACAAAATAAAAATGCGAACACCAGGAGAGTATAAGACAATTAAAAGTTTAGTAAAAAACCTTTAAAAACTTTTAAAAGTCAATCAATGGGAAAAGCAGTTATAAATAAACCGACGCCTGCATCCAGGCCCTAGATCTCGTGACAGGGCCGTGGTAACCAATCATTGTAACCTCCTTATTAACCCCTTTAGCTATCATTCCATCCTTCTACTGCCTTTCCGTGTCAAACCACCATGGGGGCGTATCACCTCATTAGGTTTATAATCACTCAATGGGAAACTTTGCTTTTCCCATTTATTGACTTTGTGCCCTGAGGATCCGACGAAAGCTTGGCCCCTATGATTGTATGCTTTTAAAAGTTTTTAAAGGTTTTTTACTAAACTTTTAATTGTCTTATACTCTCCTGGTGTTCGCATTTTTATTTTGTATTATGGATATTCCCAGGAGTCATTCGTCTGTCTTCTATGTTATTTGCAACCATATATATATATATATATATATATATATACACACATATATATATATATATATATATATATATATATATATATATATATATATATATATATATATATATATATATATATATATATATATATATATATATATATATATATATACTGTAAGTATATTGTATATAAGGTAAGGTTAGGATTTTGATTATGTATATAAGTTTATGTTAATAATTAGCACATTAAATCCATAATACCTTCATGTTGTATATCCAAGAAATTGTCACAGGCAAATCTCTGGAAAAATTGTATGCCAGTGATCAATTATTTTTGCATTTGCTATACAAGGGCAAATATTTTTTTAAAAAATCTAAAAATGTACCCAAAATGTATTAGTTCAATTCTATATTTTCCTTTGAACTGTACAACCCATTCTATACTGCAAACTAATATGAAATTCCTTTAGCTTCCAGAGCAGTTTGTGATGTGAGAAAAATAGGAGGTACTATTTGACAGCAAAAAATACCCCTTTTTTGATTCAGAAAATTAGTTTCCTAATTATCTGGAATCTGGGCCATTATTGTAAAGTGAGAAAACTAATTTTACAATGTACAATTTGCATTGATGTTTTCAATGACTTTTCGTACACAGGTATGATTTGTATATATCATGTATATATAGATAAAGAGATACATGCTGTATTGTTAGATCAACAATTTAAATACAGTTATTGAAAAGAGTGCTACACTGTTTCAATGAAACACTGTAAGTTTTAGCTAAATAAAGATCAAAACTTAAGAATGTGCAAGAATGAAATTTATTGTCTATTACAGTGGTTCTCAACCTGTGGGTCGGGACCCCATTTGGGGTCGATCGACCATTTCACGGGGGTCGCCAAGCAAGGCTGTCCGCCATTTTTTTTGTCCGCCATTTTTTTTCCCCTTTTCCAGCGGGTGCCTTACCTCCCTTGGGCTGGGCCAGCTGGTGGTCGGCCTGCTCCGTCTCTGCCGCTTGCCAGCTACGCCTCGGCCGGCGCAGGGGGCGGAACCACGCATGTGCAGCGCTCCCGGGCAGGGAATGTCCTCGACTTATGACCGGTTGGGTAGTCCTCGACTACGACCGGTTTAGTCCTTGACTTACGACCGGTTTAGTCCTCAACATACGACCGGTTTAGTCCTCGACTTACGACCGCTTGGGGTCGCGGCATTAAAAAGGTTGAGAACCACTGGTCTATTATATGATATAAATATTTGTTCATGTTGTGCTTTACAAGTAAATCAATTTTAGGCAGTTGACAAAAGTTGCAGTTAACTTTGAATCCAAACTATAAGATGTGTTTACAGTTCATATTAAGCCATGATTTGTATTAATAAAGTTTACTGAACATGCAATGATATCTAATTCCACATATTATAAGCCAAAACCAAATAAGTACAAATTATGCATCATATCATAATAAGATGCAGCATTTACAGAAGTGCATTGCACAGTTCTTGGTATATACATATACTCTAATATTGGACACATTTCATCACTTGGAATTTGAAACAAACATCTAGTGATAAATATTAATATGGGCACGTTACTAAAAGTGATGTGGAAACATTTTCAACAAGGCAGTCAATGATTTACTTTTTATTGTTGAATGTATAACCTGCCTCTGTGTTTACTTCATCATTCAAGACAATTAAAAATGCAAACTATAAACTGAACAAAATTAATACAATTAAAACTAATAAATACAATCACTAATAAAAGGTTCACAAAAGAAGATTTTTACCATCTTCCTAAATATTGGGAATGGGAACCAAATTCTTTGAATGGTGCAGTCTATTCCCTGGAAGCCGCATGAGAAAAATACTTTCCCTGTATGTTGAAGTGCTGGTAGTTGGGGCATATTTAGAGTGGTCTCAGTGATCTAATTAACCAGGCAGGTTCATAGCAGCAGGAGCAATTCACAAATAATTAGGCTTTAAACCATTTAAATTGTGCCTATTAAGCAATTAATAAGCAAGACAAATTTTTAAGGAATTTTCCATAAGATTCTTGTGGATTGCATTGATCAGTAATATAATCATCTCATTCAAAATACATTTCAAATATTTTTTAAGAATAAACCCATCTAATACACATTGCAATGCTTAAGAGGGGCTATAAACAGGGCACAATTTTCCCTAGAACTAATTTATTCAGGAAGGATCAGAATTGGTCAACTAGTCATAATTATGCAAATTTGTTTCTTGCATCTGTCACCAAATAAATCCCAATGTCTGCTGCAGACAAGAGACCCTCACAAACTGCAAACTGCTCTCTCTCTCTCTCTCTCTCTGGGAATGCAATTATACCCATAACAAGTTTCAGCTCAATACCTCAATTCATTTTTTCTTTCTGTGTTGTCTGGATTTTAATTTCAGCTTGATCCAACCCACTACCAAGATTAGCAATGCTCACATTTGCCAGTATTACCTCCTGTGACCTACCCACACTGGCATACAAAACAAGTCAAAGTTTGGGTGACTTTGTCTGCAAAGAATTATGACAATTGCTGGCAGTATACCCCTGGCTATTACGATTATTCACTCCAAATATTTTTATGAAGGGTATGCCTCACAGCACAGAAAAGCATTATCAGCCTATTCTGTGTAGACACCAATGAGTGTGACTAGTGCTTTTCATCATTCCTATTACTAGAGTTGATTTTTTTCTGATTTTTTAAGAG